CCATTCTCATACTCGGTGGGTAAGACGGCTCGTGAAACTCACCACATCCATCTAGTGCCAGTATTACATATATCTGTCACGTGTATCAGTGACCAAGACGCGGGTTTGTATTGGTGAATCGGTTTATTGGATCTTCACTAGTCATAACTATAATTAGTTCTTACACTCTCAACGTTACAATAACTGATACACATGTAGTCTCCAATGTCAACACTTCACAGCTGAATCCTCACAACTCCTTTCCGTGGCGGCTTCGTGTCTTTGACTCTCGGCTTCTCAGCTATGACTGACTGCAAACGACATTTACTGTCCCCAATAAACCTTCAACACAGACACCATAGAAAACATTATTATTTTAGATATGTTTGGAGTTCTGTAGCTTAGCACTGGGAATGGTGAGGACTACATTGAAAAGAAGTCTCGTGATAGCTATCTTGCCAGTGCATTGGCGCGCTGATTGTTGCCTAACGACGAGCTATAAACATTCGGCCTATTGTTGCGTGACATAGCAATGGACTGTTTACCAAGAATCTGTCTTCACGGGAACTTTTTTACCAACCCGTTGCCTAGCAATGGGTGTACATGTAACATTACATACAATATTTTGGCGAAGGGGTAACTTAACGTAACTAGAGCAAGTACTACTATTTGCGGAGTGTGTTCTTTGTTGGTCTTAAACACGCATTCACATTTGAAAAAAAATCTATGTTCATATTAAACCCGAAATTGCCGTTATATTACTAATGAATTGCTATCCCTGAATTACGAATTCACGCCATGTGTAGGCCTCGCTCTATAATATTAACTACTAATTATCCACACCGATTGCTATTACATAATATAATGGGTCTTCATTATTTTGATTAAAATATTACGGACTTTGCTTACCTGTTTGCTTAAGCTTCACATTTTGAAGTCTGAAATTCATATATATCCCATGTATATGTATAAGTAATGCAGTATCCTCACCATGTCAGTTGCAATGAGTTCTCGGAGACACCGATAGAGGTGCCACTTGACGGCACGCGAGTGGTCTGAGGTAAAGCTGCCGAGGAGTGAAGCTCCGTCCAGCACTGAGGACTGCGCAAGTC